ATATGCATTCATATTTCTATTGCTTAAGTTCTACTATTTAAGTATTTTTGTGCTATTAAAACCAAAATTTGTGTTCGCGAACGCGCTGCGTGAGAGGAATCGAACGACACCAAAAAAAGGATGAGTCACTTTTAGTATAAAAGAAACTTTTAATATACGAATCTTTACGGAAATATAATGTACAATACTTAACAATTAAACGCACAAAAAAATTAACACAAAATCTAATCAGTTTCAGCGGACAATTCGAAATCACAAGAAAAGGCGGTGGTCGTCGATTTAATGTTCTGCGGTTTTTCTAAGCGGTTTACTCTTATGCGTACACGGCGGAAAGCGATAAGACCGCAAACCGGGTGTGAGCTCCTCTTTTATCATTTTCGGAGAGGAGCCCACCCTCGCGTGAAGCGCCAATAATTTTGCGTGATTTTAAAGTGGCGCATGCTCAATAGCATATAATTATTCGGCGGAACGGTTGCGACACCGTTACTTGTTTGTGTATTTGAGCGTTTTTTTATATGACAGCTGTCAATTTACGACTCTTTTTTATTCCATTACAAACAAATGTGACTTTATTATTGCCGATCGAAGATTCTAGAATTTAACAATAACTATTTTCGAGATCGAACCTTGTCTCGACTGAAAACGTATAATATATGAAAATCCTAATTACATTTTACTGCCGAAATAATTTAACTGGCGATAAGAATTATTTTGCATCTCAAACATCCCGCCCGCCTTGTCGCAACGTGACAAATGGTTGATGATGATTTCGGCGCGGATCACATTCCGATGGTGATTGATGGTGGGGCGGGCTCGCGTCGGCGCGGCGAAATTCACGTGATGATCGCGTGTTGCGAATCGATCAGCTGAGTCGACGAAAACACGTGGTGATCGCGTGATGTGAATCGATCAGCTGGAACGGCGAAAACATGTGGCAGATGTGAACGGCGAGTGTGAGATGCAGTGAGCGGTGAAAATGAGACAAGTTTTAGTGCGGTGGTGAGCGAAACAAGTGATGTGTGACAATTGATATGGTGCATGATGTGATGATTGTGTAGTGAGTGATGCTATGTGTCAATGTGCGGTGTAGGCGCGTCGTTCACGCCCGGAAGAAACACGAGCTTGACGAGTGGGCGCACGAGCTCGGACGTGGCCGTTCGGATGGTCACGACGCGTGTAATTCCGTCGTCTCCGGGGTGCAAACGCAATATGCGAGCGAGAGGCCATCGGCTCGGAGGGGTGATCTCGGAGCGCACGAGACAGAGATCGCCGACGTGGGGTGCAGGTGCATCCTTGAGCCACTTGGTGCGTGGGGCGAGTCCGTGCACGTATTCGGATGACCATCGCTGCCAGAAGTGATCCCTCATCCGCTGCAGATGACGCCAACGTGACAAGGTGGACACCGTCTGCTCTGTCAATGACGGTTCCGGCAAGGCGAGGAGCGGTGCCCCAACGAGGAAGTGACCGGGGGTCAGCGCCGAGACGTCCTCTGGATCATCTGAGAGTGCCTGTAACGGACGTGAATTCAGACAAGCTTCGATCTGGGCGAGGAGTGTGCTCAACTCCTCGAACGTGAGGGTGGTCTCGCCGATCACCCGACGGAGGTGAAACTTGGTCGACTTTACGGCGGCCTCCCACAAACCACCAAAGTGCGGGGCCGCTGGCGGGTTGAAGTGCCAGCGGATTCCTTGAGCGGTGGCGGCAAGGATGACACTTTGACCTTCGGCTGTCGCTGCGTTAAAGAGACCTCGCAGCGTCCGATCTGCCCCGATGAAAGTCGTGCCGCAGTCGCTGTAAATCTCAGCGCACAAACCCCGGCGGGAGATGAAGCGGCGCAGCGCGGCGATGAAGGCCTCCGAGGTGTAGTCCGAGACAACTTCTAAGTGAATGGCCTTCGACCAGAAGCAGACGAAGACGGCGATGTATCCCTTGTGCGCACGGTGTCCACGCCCCTTGCTGGTCCGGAGGAGGATTGGTCCCGCGTAGTCCAAACCGGTGCTGAGGAACGGTCGAGTTGGCGTTACTCGGTCCCGAGGAAGGTTACCCATCGGAGGCTGTGGTGTTGCGGCGCGCCATCGAGTGCAGGTCACGCATCGGTGTAGCTGCTGTTTGACGGTGGTCCTTCCTCGGGGCACCCAGAAACGCAGGCGGAGCAAGCCGAGAGTCAGTTGCACACCTCCGTGCAGTGTCCGTCGGTGGCAGGAATCAATCACCAGCCGAGTCAACCATGATGCCGCCGGGATGATCATTGGATGTCTTTCGTCGAGTGGTAGCTGAGCATGCTTGAGACGTCCTCCGACGCGCAGCACGCCTTGATCATCGAGGACCGGACTCAACCTCGCTAGGTGGCTTCGCGGTGGACTAGTGCGTCCAGCAGAGGCCGCAGCTACGTCCGTAGGAAAGTGGAGCGCCTGCACCACTCGCAGCCATCGAAATAAGGCGACGTCCAGCTCGTCCGGATGCAAAGTGCGGCCAAGTATGACGTCGCGTCTCGCCGGATTGAGCCATCGCCGACACCATGCAGTAACTCGCAGCAGCCTTTGTAGCTTCGGGAACCGGAGGAGGAGGTCAGGTTCGGCCGTGATCGGTGCCTTGACCACCAAACTGGTGGCTCGCTGCTCCGGGAGGTCATCCTCTGCGGCTTCGATGACGGAACAAGGCCATGCAGTCTCGTCTCCTGACAGCCAGGTAGGTCCTGTCCACCACAGTTTATGCTTAATGAGTTCGTCAGGAGTAACACCGCGTGATGCACAATCTGCAGGATTCTCTCGTCCAGCGATGTGTCTCCATTGAGCGTCTGGCAGCAGGGTCTGGATCTGAGACACTCGATTGGCGACAAAGGTTTTCCAGCGGGTGCTGTGTCCTTGAATCCAGTGGAGCGTGACCTTTGAATCTGACCACAGATGCACTGGCGTCGTTGTCAAACCGAGAGTAGAGCGCACGTGGAGCATGAGCGTGGTAAGTAGAGCTGCTGCACAGAGTTCCAAGCGAGGTAACGACACCTGCTTGACAGGTGCGACCTTGGATTTTGCCATCAACAGGTTGATTGATGTTTTCTCTGTTGCAGCGTTGCGGATGTACACCACGGCGGCGTACCCTCGCTCTGATGCGTCGGCAAACCCATGGAGCTGCAGTTGTGAATGGTCGGTCCCAGTGTTGAGCCAGCGAGTTATGCGGATGTCATCTAGAAGAGGAAGCTGATTCAACAACTGCCTCCAGCGGTGTGCGTCCTGATCAGGCAGCGGGGAGTCCCAGTCCAGCCGTTGAAGCCACGTCGTCTGAATCAGAATTTTGGCTCTGATGACGACAGGTGCGAGCCACCCCATCGGGTCAAAGAGTCGAGCCGTCTCGGCCAAAACTCGTCGCTTCGTGAAGTCGGTGATTGCACGCGGACGTATGGTGAAGGAGAACCAGTCACCTTGCGGATGCCATCGGAGGCCCAAGGTAGCGTGACTCTCTCCCTCCCATGAGTGCGGTTTGCGTTGATGCCGATGTTCCGGTGGAACTCCGGTGAGCACCTGCTGATCGTTGGCAGCCCACTTCCTCAAAGGAAATCCGCCCGCCATGCAAAGACTCCGTAGTTCCTGCTGAAGGTCGATAGCGTCCTCCAAGCTATCAGCGCCGGTGACCACGTCGTCGACGTAGCAGTCGTGTCGCAGTGCCTTGACTCCGCGTGGATATCGTGCCTCTTCGTCTGCTGCGAGTTGATGAAGAGTCCTGATGGCGAGAAAGGGTGCACACGCTAGCCCGTAGGTCACGGTCCTCAGCTCGTACTCGTGGACGTCATCAGAGCTGGTGTGGCGCCACAAGATGGTTTGCAGGCGACGATCCTCCGGATGTACAAGAATTTGTCGGTACATCTTCTCGATATCCGTGACGAGAACGTACCGATGCCAACGCCAACGAAGTAGGACATCAGCGAGTGTTGGCAAGAGATTGGCTCCAGTGAGGAGGTGTGCGTTCAGCGACTCTCCGGACCGTGTGCGCTGGGAGCCGTTGAACACGACCCTGAGCTTCGTGGTCGTGCTTGACTCCTTGAGGACCCCGTGATGCGGTAAGTAGCACCTAGGGCTGCAGGTTGTTGAAGTTGTGCTGACCTCCATATGTTGCAGGTTCTCGTATTCCTCCATGAAATCTCGATAGAGGTCACCGAAGCGAGGATCTCGTGCTCCCTTCCGCTCCATGGCTTCCAGGAGGCGCTCTGCGGGTCGACGAGTCTCGCTGAGCGATGTCGGCGGCGGTGAAGTACATGGCAGCCTCACCATGTACCTGCCACTGGACGTGCGAGTGACCGTGCGCACGTAGAAGTCTTCGCACCTGGCTTCGTCGGCGGTGAGCGGTGTCCCAGCTACTGGCTCGCGTTCCTGCTCCCAGAAGCGTCGAACCATGTTAGCGAGGTCGTGGTCTGTGGTGCACTGGAACGTGCGGCGATGGCCTTCGGGTGCTGCGGCGTCGTAGCCTCCGGACAAGATCCATCCTAAGCTCGTCTGCTGGGCGATCGGCATCCGTGATCCGCCCTTGCGAAGGCCTTCCTCGAGGATCAGCGAGTAGACTTCTGCTCCCAGAAGTAACTCCGCAGGATCGTCATCCAGGAAGCGCGGGTCGGCCAATCGAAGTCCGTGGATGTGAGGCCAGCTACGATCTTCACGTTGAGCGGTGCCTTGTTGCAATGAGATGCGCGGCAGCACAAAGGCCACCACGCGAAGCTCGGCATTGGTCACGTCAGATGTGATGTCTATCGTGACCTTGCCACGCGCTGATCCAGAGCGAGTCCCTCCGATGCCGAAGATGGACAGATCCGTTGAAGCTCGAGGCAGCCGAAGACGCTGAGCCAGAGCCTCAGAGATGATGGACACCTCGGAGCACTGATCTATCAAGACTCTAACCTCGTGTGGTGATCCGTATCGATCAGCGACCTTGACGCGAGCGGTTGCGAGAAGGACGGCCTTGTGCGTCTTAGCTTGCCGTGCAGTGACCAGTGTGGTGGCAAGTGAAGTGGCCTCAGCGGATGGTGTTGATGTGGATGCCCCGTGCAGCATGGTGTGGTGTCGTGCGTTGCAGGTGAGGCAATTCTTTTTTGACTGACACCGTGCTAAGAAATGATTGCCTAAGCAGTTGAAGCACAATCGGTTGGTCTCCACGAACGCTTTCCGCTCAACCGCAGTCTTGGCCTTGAAGCTTTTGCACGTCATCAAGGTATGGTTTCACGGCACAGTGCACAGTGAGGTGAATCCGCGCCTTGGTGCTTCGTGACGTGCGCTTTGGCGAATCGTGATGTTTCTCCAGGTCCCTTTGTGACACTCCTCGGTCGTGCGGCGTTGAGCGTCAATACTCGTCGACTAATAAAGTCGAGAAGTGCCTCGTTCTGTGGTGGTTCGGTGGAGTCTGAAGTGGTTGACTCCCATTCGAGACGAGTGCGCGCGTCGAACAGTTCGACGACCAGGTGGTTGAACAGGTCCATCCCATGCGAGTTGATAGGACGTCCGATGCTCTCCTGTGCGTTGACTGCGGCGGTGACAGCGTTGTGGATGCGGCTCAGCTCCTCGGCGGTATCTCCCTTCATCTTTGGCACGGCGGTAAACGTGGCAAAGTTGGAGCGGATTAATTCTCTTTTGTTATTGTAGTGCTTGTCCAAGATTGCCCAAGCGCGATCGTAATTGTCACTCGTGACAGGTAGTGACTTTATCAATTTTTCAGCCGGACCTGTCAGACACGAGCGGAGGTGGTGGAGCCGCTCAATGTTCGAGATCGAATTGCTGCTCACAATGGACAGAAAAAGATCGCGAAAGGATGGCCAATCGGCGTAGGCGCCAGAGAACGGCGGCAACTTGATGCGCGGCAGCGAAGACTTCGATGCGACGTCGACGGATGGAGATACGTTCGGCTTCCGGAAATGTTCGGTATAACTATCTAAAGTACTGCGTTGTGCAACGTACAGATTTTCCGTATCGCCATGTAACTCCGACTTGTAGTAATCGCTCTCGCAAAATTTTTCTTTCAGAGCCGCTCGAATGAGATCATGCTGTGCCTCGAATTTCGTCCACAGCTGATCTAAGATTCTGGTGCGTGTGGATACGGCACTGGCGGTGATGTTGGTGGTGCCCAGCTTCTTCAAATATTCCACGGAACGTGAAATGCGGACCTGGATCTCACGTTGACAGTCGATCAACGTGTTCACATCCATGGTGAACTACGAGCACTCACGAACTACACGACGACACGTTCACGAACTTGCGGGTGCCGGCGAGAAGATCCGGCTCGAAGGACCAGAAATATGTTCGCGAACGCGCTGCGTGAGAGGAATCGAACGACACCAAAAAAAAGGATGAGTCACTTTTAGTATAAAAGAAACTTTTAATATACGAATCTTTACGGAAACATAATGTACAATACTTAACAATTAAACGCACAAAAAAATTAACACAAAATCTAATCAGTTTCAGCGGACAATTCGAAATCACAAGAAAAGGCGGTGGTCGTCGATTTAATGTTCTGCGGTTTTTCTAAGCGGTTTACTCTTATGCGTACACGGCGGAAAGCGATAAGACCGCAAACCGGGTGTGAGCTCCTCTTTTATCATTTTCGGAGAGGAGCCCACCCTCGCGTGAAGCGCCAATAATTTTGCGTGATTTTAAAGTGGCGCATGCTCAATAGCATATAATTATTTGGCGGAACGGTTGCAACACCGTTACTTGTTTGTGTATTTGAGCGTTTTTTATATGACAGCTGTCAATTTACGACTCTTTTTTATTCCATTACAAACAAATGTGACTTTATTATTGCCGATCGAAGATTCTAGAATTTAACAATAACTATTTTCGAGATCGAACCTTGTCTCGACTGAAAACGTATAATATATGAAAATCCTAATTACATTTTACTGCCGAAATAATTTAACTGGCGATAAGAATTATTTTGCATCTCAAACAATCTGAAAATTAGATAATTGAATAAAGATAGTATTTTTTTTCACATCTAAAATGCAGATATAGATGATACCTACATATTTTCATTATCTATATAAAGATAAGATGACGCCAAAGTTTCATCTATATAATTTTCTTTAGATAACAGCAAACACTGTTAATCAAGTAGTTTAAAGCTCTAGTAACGTATTCCGCGAGCTACAAAGGAAATGGCAAATTAACGAAGAAATTATATGACGACCAACACGCGATAGAACTCGTTTTCTCGCCAACTTGAGCCCCACGGAAGTGAAAGACGACGCATATGTTTGCGCATATGTCTGGTAGTTACAATATCTCGATATTTGCATAACACGTCCTCATTACCGAAAAAGCCCTGTAAGTGGAAGGACTTAATGCTCGGACGTGGGATATACGTGTCGTGGGATATTTCTTCGAAAAACGCGAAGAACGACGGAAACGCGACATCATCATTATCCTGTTCTCCGCGAGCTTAAGGGCTCCCATTATGAGAAGCTACGTGAAAGGGTACAAACAGGCGGCCCTGTCGCCTGTCAGAATACCGTCTAGCGTTATAGTGAAAAAGAAGAAGAAGAAGAAGAGAAGAGGAAGACAAGGTCGTTATTCTTCGAGAAAAGTATGCGCGATAAATGAAGGGTTCGAGGCACGAGTAAGGCGAGTCCATAATTTATAAGCTTCGCTTTGAATACCAAGTCGTATTCAAGTTAAACCCTGTCGACTTGTTACTCGCTTGCACTCTGAACTCTTTAAATAGAGTGTAGCTTTTGTCAAATATAATCACTTTTTTTTTGTCTCTCTCGAGAAAAACGCCTCATCTCCTCTCGTTGTATGTATAATTTCATCTCGCGGTGTTGTACAAATCTGCACAGAGAGAATTTTCTCTTCGAATTTACCCTGAAAATCATGGTAATCGTGGGACAATATGATATTGGAAGAATTTTATACCACAATAAAAATATTACTATGCACATAGTAAAATTAATCGAACATATTCTATATCTTATGGTAGATATAAATTTTTTTATTGTGATAAGTATTAATCTCTTAGAAAATTCTTCCAATATGACTCCATGATTTTCCGGGTAAATTCTAAGAGAAAATTCTTTCTGTGTGTGTGCAAATACTTGTATAATAATTAAATATTAAATATTTAAGAGTCTTCTTTCGAGATATTCGCCCTCTGCGAATATATATGACTCAAGCTATTATTTTGCCCCTCAATTTGATCCGTTCTATTCATTTTCACGGTACGTCTCCCACGAGAATGAAACGCTCGCTTTTTGCGCACGCGCGAGCATTTCTTTAATAAAGTGGATTAAACGAATGCGCCTTTTAGCGGTCGCGCCAATTAAGCTTCGAGCCGCTTTTAATTGTTCCTAACGAGGCTAAACGCGTACGTATATCTACTACATGCCTGCGCTTCACGTCACATCGCATAACAATGACTAACGGGTTGCCGCGAGCGTGTCTCCCTATTCCATTTCCTATCGGGTGACCAAGTCGATGACACGATAGTCGATCCAGTTCATTCATACAGAGAAAGAATTTTCTCTTCAAACTTTCTCTTAGAATTTACTCTCAAAATCATGGTAATCGTGGGACAATATTGGAAGAATTTTTTCGATTAATATTTAGCACGATAAAAATATTAATATCTAATAAAATATATGTTCGATTAATTTTACTATGTACATATTAATATTTTTGAGTGTGGTAAACGAACGGAAAGTACATCAAAGGGCTAATTTATATATAGAAAATTATATTCAAATTATATGACACATATACGCAGAGAGAATTTTCTCTTAGAATTTACCCTCAAAATCGTGGTAATTGTGGGACAATATTGGAAGAATTTTATGAGTTTTTTCGATTAATATTTAGCATAATAAAAATATTAATATCTAATAAAATATATGTTCGATTAATTTTACTATTTACATATTGATATTTTTGAGTATGGTAAACGAACGGAAAGTACATCAAAGAACTGATTTATATATAGAAAATTATATTCAAATTATATGACACATACGCAGAGAGAATTTTCTCTTAGAATTTACCCTCAAAATCATGGTAATCGTGGAACAATATTGGGAGAATTTTATGAATTGTTTCGATTAATATTTAGCACGATAAAAATATTAATATCTAATAAATATATGTTCGATTAATTTTACTATGTACATATTAATATTTTTGAGTGCGGTAAACGAACGGAAAGTACATCAAAGGGCTAATTTATATATAGAAAATTATATTCAAATTATATGACACATATACGCAGAGAGAATTTTCTCTTAGAATTTACCCTCAAAATCATGGTAATTGTGGAACAATATTGGGAGAATTTTATATGAATCCCAATAAGATATAAAATATGTTCGATTAATTTTACTATGTGCGTAATATTTTTTATTGTGATAAATATTTGAATTACAGAAACTTATAAAATTCTTCCAATACCATATTGTCCCACAATTAGCATGATTTTCAGGGTAAAATTTAAGAGAAAAAGTGCAATGTAACGCATTTACGGAGAGATATTTCATACGATTAAACAAAATTTGAACATTTACAAAATTATATACTTATATCTTTAATTGTATGTACGTCGTTCTTTCGGTAATTTCAGAAATATCCACCTGCGCTCGAATAAATGTTCTTTAAATAAATATGTATATTGCGTTACACTTAAATGCGTTCCGATTGATCCTTCGATAACCTTTGTAAATGGATGCCCTTGGCGCATCTGGATGAGCAAATTGGCCGGATGAAAATTGCAATGATCATCGAATCGTATGTATATATATAGAGAGAGAGAAACGTAAACGGAATTGCGTAACGAATCGTGCAATTGCAGCGCGAATAAATGTCGGGGAATCAATTAGAAATGAGCACGACAAAAGAGAAAGAGATATAAAGAGATAAAGAGAGATGCGATCGACTTAACACGGTTCCATTAGTTACGCGACAGCAATTACAGGCTCGTTATATCGCGATAGCGCGGTTATCGACCCGTGATAGTTATTCCGTGGGTTTTAAATACCGCGCGACCTTATTTAATCGCCTTTACATCGGCGCCTCTTAATCCGCTGCTATTTTTAATTAAATGTTAAAGTCGCCCTTGGCGCACGGTTGAAAGACGCGCGTCTTGAAACGCGGCCGCTGTCGTGGAGATCGCTTTATATACATAAATATAATATTTATCGAAGGAAGAATAAACAACCGATCACTTGTTTATG